ATAGCTCAATCGAGAATACTATTTACAGTTTTCAAAAAAAAAAAAAAAAAAAACACGTCTGACGTTTGAGGCCAAAAATCTAATATGTACACTGTGTGATAAGGAAATTACTGAAGAAATCCCCCATTACCTGCTTAATTGTACAGCCCTTGATGCAGAGAGGAAGGCCCTATATCAACAAATTAAATGTACCAACACTTCACCCCGCGTATTGCTTTCAAAAATATCAGAAAAAAATCTAAGGCAATAGCTTACTATAAAATTTTTAGATCAACATTATGTAAGGAAAAGTCAACAAGTGAATGACTTTGAGACGAAGAGTAAAGCCAGTTCAATTTCTATGTAAATAACTCAAGATGATTATTACCTTACCCAATTGGGAGAATCTGTATGGGGCAAGTCCCTAATAAAGGCTTTTGTGTGTGTGTGTTTACAAAATAACTTTACTAGGTACCCCTCAAAAAGAGCAACCAAGCTTATGTTATTTACAATAAAAATATGAACAGGTTCTTCACATTTTTCTCTTTTTGTGAGGCACCTAGTAAAGTTATTATGGAACATTATATAATAACATTGCCTATATATTACTGATACTATTACTATTATTCCTGCATATACGTTACATTTCTGCTTTAGAAAATCTGTATATGACTAAAAGTTCTTAATAAAGAATTTTTGTTGTTGTATATATTTTAGAAGAAAATTATCGTTAAAAGTGCTTATATTGTTTTAAGGAACCAATGTTTCTGGTCATCTTGTCCCAACTTTTGGAGTGGATAAAGTCCTTATTAGTGGGATTTATCAATGGAAGATCAGGAAAAGAAGGACAATAATGGAATTCATGGACAATTTTGGATGAATACCCTACAATATCATTTAAATATTAGCAATATAATGAGAACTCTGAACGGACAGGAATACTTGCTAGCTGCAAGCCTATGAGAAGAGGAGAAATAGATCATTAAGTTAGATTTGTTTAGGTCAGAGTTGGTGATGATGGGGATATGTACATGTGTAAAATTTAACCTTATAAATGAATAACAGATTTCCTTTATGCAAAAAACGATGTTACAAACTATTCTAGTATATAAAAAGAAAATGTAGTCAGTGAACGAGTGGTTAAAACTCTCGATTCTCGACAGTCATGAACCTGGATAGAATCCCGTATATAACACTTTGTTTTAATATGTGAATAACCTTTACATATTATTCATTATTGATATAACATAAGCTAGGTTGCTCTTTTTGAGCGGTATATAATAAAGTTACTTTTAAAATGAACATATAAAGAGAACATTACTTACCAAACGCACTCTGTACAAATTCATGTCCATTATGATTTCAATCTCAAGTTTTTAAGAGTAAAGAATATTTACATAAACAACAACGTGTTGAATGACGATTAGTAACTATTGTACGACTTCTCTCTGTAAACCCAGGTCAGGATGAATTGTTAAAATGTCGTTTAAGACACAGTCATTCATTTTTTCATCTTTATTTCAGTTTTCTACTCTGTTTTATATAGAAAAAATGTTGATAAGTCGAATTTTGTGAATGAATTTACATATTCTTGTAAATCATTGTATTTAGAAAAATACAAGGTTGTCTCCCTCGTCAAAATAGATTCTAAAAAATAAGCGCCATCTATTGGTCGTCTCAATAAACTAGCGGTCTTGAGTCGGTAAGAAAGACACAACAACAGCTTTAGTATGCTGAGAAAATGGGATGAAATAGGAATTTAATAACTTGTGGAGCTCATGAAATCAAATCCCGCTTTGAACTTAGACCGAAATCATGGTCTCCTAATGACCGTTTCCCAATTTACCATAGCTAGTGTTGTGGCTTTGTCAACAACCGATGTTCGCTAGTTTGAGAAGACGTTCAATAGATGACACTTAATTTTAGCGTCTATTTAGACGGGAGAGGCGACCTTTATATTATAGATCATATAATATAAAGATTTAAATATATTATTTTCGGCATGTATAATTGGCTGGAAATCATACATCTTGGTCTCCAGTTGAAAGGCCTATTAGCCTGAAAGTTTGAGATATAAAAAAATAGTTATAAGATACCTGTGGATTGCTTATTGATTTTGTTATAAAGTTAACAATGTTAGCACAACTTACGTTACTTAAACCTATACCACCTCTGGGTAACTCAGTTCTTGAGTATTTGATGCTAAGCAACAATGTTTCAAGCGTATTTCTCGACGCATGCTACATATTTGTATTAATCCTACATCAAGGATCTACTGTAGACGAAAGATAAGACTTTAAAGAAATTTTCTAAACGCTTAAAACTTACACAAAGTTGTACATCACCAACCTATCTAGATATTTACAGGGAAAAAAGATGCCGGAACTCTAAATAAAAGATTTATAGAGTTTTATAATCATATGTAATATAAAAACAACAAAGGTTTTATTAAGATCATTTAGTCTTATACGGATTCTCCAAACACAGAATGTAGGATACATACAGGAATAACAGTAATAACAACAAAAGTCCCTGTTCAGACCCTTTGGTCTTATACAGCTTCTCCAAGTAGAAGAGGGTATATACAACAATAACAAAAACTTTATTAAGACATTTTAGTCTTATACGAATTCTCCAAGCACTGAAATGTAGGGTACATACAAGAATAACAGTAATAACAACAACAAAAGTCCCTGTTAAGACCCTTTGGCCTTATACAGCTTCTCCAAGTAGAAGAGGGTATATACAACAACAACAAAAAGCTTTATTAAGACCATTTAGTCTTATACGGATTCTCCAAGCACAGAAATGTAGGGTAAATACAGGAATAACAGTAATAACAACAAAAGTTCCTGTTAAGACCCTTTGGTCTTATACAGATTTTCCAAGTAGAAGAGGGTATATACAACAACAACAAAAAGCTTTATTAAGACCTTTTAGTCTTATACGGATTCTCCAAGCACAGAAATGTAGGGTACATACAAAAATAACAGCAATAACAACAAAAAAAGTCCCTGTTAAGACCCTTTGGTCTTATACAGATTTTCCAAGTAGAAGAGGGTATATACAGCAACAACAAAAAGCTTTATTAAGACCTTTTAGTCTTATACGGATTCTCCAAGCACAGAAATGTAGGGTGCATACAGGAATAACAGTAATAACAACAAAAGTCCCTTTTAAGACCCTTTGGTCTTATGATAATTTGTTATATATCGAAATTCTTTAATAATGAATATCATCCAGCAATATAGTGGAAACTTTATAGACATTCCAGAAATTTATAATATTGTAACAAAGTATTTATTAATTTTATTATTTTTATTAACAGAGTGGTCATTTTTATGTTTATGTTTTGCTACTCTGTAAATTTCCCTCGTGGCTTATCTTTTGTTTACCATTCATAGTTTTTCCTTTCCTGAAATAAATTGTTGTCCTCCTCCTGAAGTTTTTGTCTTCCCTAATTTTCAACGTGGCAATATACTATTCCCTGAATCCACCCCATAACCTTCAAATGAAGATATCGCCTCTGTGAATACCAAAGTGGATAAGCATGCGCAATGGAAGCCCGCGTTGATTCTGCATTCAAATAACTATAAACACCCAAAGAATTTTATTTAATTTTAAATCTTATTCTATATTGGCGATTTGATGTCAAATATTTTCTCCTGTAGAAGGGCTTTCTCAACCGAAAGCTAGAGAGATTTATAATATGATGCAAATTTCGACACTATTGCCACGTGGAAAATGAAGGAAGACAAACTTCGTTCTTCTTTACTCCCGGGCTAATTAGTCTAATGAGTAAGGTCTTCTATCCCCCAAAATGGCTGCAGAATGCGAACTGGTGGCAAGGGATCCTAAGATCTGGCAGAGGAGAAAAGACAAATTTCATCTATAGTCCTCCGCTCTGCCAACTGAGCTATCGAGGGATTTGACAAACTTCAGAAAATATCTTTATTTACGGGGCTACTAATCAAAATAAATTATTTTTGAGCCCCAATGGCCGCATAAAGCTGAATATATAAAACCACTATGACCAGGTTGGAGAGGCTAGGGACAGGATCTCCGTCAGGGAAGAGGCAGGTTAGGCCGGAAAAAACTTGACAAACTTCAGGATGAGACAGCAATTTATTTCAGGCAAGAACAAACTATGAATGGTAAACAAAAGTTAAGCCACGAGGGAAATTTACAGAGTAGCACAATATAAACATAAAAATGACCTCTCTGTTAATAAAAATAATAAAATTAATAAATAGTTTGTTACACTATTATAGATGCATGTATATATATAATTCTTTTAAAAATTGAACAAAAGAATCATATACTGTATATATACGTCTATAATAGTTTTAAATAAAAGATTTGTTAAAATGAAACTTTTCAATGGAGACCTAATGTTTTTAATTTAACACTCTATAGTATTATTGAAAATAGAGCAATCCATATATAAATATTTAAATAAAAAAGCATATATTCGATCAGAATATAATTTATTTTCATCAATATTTCAGTTGGATGAACGCCAACCTTTATTAAGGTATTATAACATTTTAAAGTGTGTCAACAACAAACTCAGCGCCACAAAACGTCAATAGAATTAAGTTTAAAAAAATATTTTTGCTTATATTATGTTACAAAATTTATGTTGTCCATGATATAAATTTATATATCTTTTTTTTTTATCCCCATTGAATATAAGCAAAAATATATTTTTAAACTTAATTCTATTGACGGTATATGGCTCTGAGTTTGTTGTTGACACACTTTAAAATGTTATAATACCTTGATAAAGGTTGGCGTTCAACAAACCGAAATATTGGTAAAATAAATGATATTTCAGTTGGTTGAACGCCAACCTTTATCAAGGTATTATAATATGATATTTTGATCCAATATATACCTTTTTAATTAAAGATTTATATATGGATTGCTTTATTTTCAAAACGATATCAACCAGTTAGACAAACATTAAAATGTTATAATACCTTGATAAAGGTTGGTGTTCAGCCAACTGAAATATTGGTAAAATAAATGATATTTTGATCTAATATATGCCAATTCATCCTTTCATACTTCATCTCTAAGGTTAGAAATAATCGTTATTTCTTCTTAAAATAAATTTCGATTTTTCGTTCAAAAGAAACACATGCGGGATACTTTTCATATGCCTTTTTATTTGAAGATTTATTTATGGATTGCTCTATTTTCAAAACTCTATAGTATTTTGAATAGATTGTGGTTATTGTATCACGGTAGTATGACAATGAGTAATGGGAATGCAGTGTTTTTCCAGACCTCGTTACCCTTAATAAAACAAGTTTGGTTAACTCGAGGTCAACAACCTAAATGCTGGCCAAGTTTCAAGGCTACATAACCACGATCCTTTGTGCTGTGACATTGCCTTGGTCTAGGGCAAATGACTGTCTCATTTCTATTCTGAGACCATTTTTCTGTGACCATTGGAATTCGTCTGCATTCCTTTCCATCCCTGAACACTTTTATTTTTACGTTTATCATTACTCTTCACAATTCATCCTTTCATACTTCATCCCTAAGGATAGAAATATTCGTTATTTAGATTTAAAATAAATTACAATTTTTCGTTCAAAAGAAGCATTTGCGGTAAAATTGTTAAACGACGTTCTACTATGTTTAGTATTTATATTATTTATGAACTATATTCAAAATCGTTTATACTCTGCGACCATTTTTCTGTGACCATTGAAATTCGTCTGCAAAACCTTTTAAAACGGCTAAGCAGCGTTTTAATAGAATTACTACGTTTGATATTAATATTATTTATTAACTAGATTCAAAATCATCTACTCTGCCACCATTTTGTACCATTCAAATTAATTCTGAAAACCTTTTAAAATGTCTCAAAATATTGATTGTGCTTTGCTTTTGCTATCTTCATTTGCGGTGAATCCGCGGTAAATTCATGTATAATAAATTTCCTTTCCTCCAATTTACCCAGACTAATCTATTAGCTTGATTGTCTTTATATAATTTTTCCTGTATATAAATATCATATTACCATTAAGCAACTATTGCTCTTTTCCTGCATGTACCCTACATTTCTGTTTGGAGAAACTGTATAAGTCTTAAAAGGTCTTAATAAAGTTTTTTGTTGTTGTTTAAAATGGATAAGCAGAGTTTTAATAGAATTACTAGGTAAAAACACGTTTGGTATTAATTTTATTTATTAACTATATTCAAAATCTTCTATTCTGTGTCCATTTTGTACCATTGAAATTTATTCTGCAAAATTTTTTAAAAAAGATAAGCAGCGTTTTAATCGAATTACTACGTTTAGAATTTATTTTATTTTTAACTAGATTTAAAATATTCTACTCTGCGACCATTTTGTACCATTGAAATTCCTTCTGCAAAACCTTTTAAAATGGAAAAGCAGCGTTTTAATGTTTGGCATTTATTTTATTTACTAGATTCAAAATCTTCTACTCAGCGACCATTTTGTACCATTGAAATCAATTCTGCAAAACCTTTTAAAACGGATAAGCAGTGCTTTAATAGAATTACTATGTAGAGATACGTTTGGTATTTATCTATTTTTTATTGACTACATTCAAAATTAGCATATTCTTATATTACATTAAAAATAAACAAATTTTACGCAATTTTTATTTGAATAATAAGGAGGTTTTTTTTCGGAATATTTTTCTTCAACTGCCGAAAAGTACAAAGCTATTGATTAGTTAACGTTTTTTTAGATTTTATTTTAAATATGATCATTATACAGAAAGAGAGATATGTTTATAAGAAACTTTTAAACTTTTTGAGGTAAGTCAATTTATATAAATCTTATCAACATGGCACATTCAGCAATTGCTAAAATTTCAAATATGCAGAGATGTTATATTGAAGATATTGAAATAATTTTATAAATACAGTAGAACCTTCCTGTAAAGGACATTTAATTGCAGAGTCAAACTATTCTTTAGAGAGAGATGTTCTTTTACTGGAGAGTTGCAAAAAGGTAAAAATGGTAATTTTGCAAATGAAAACTGTCCTTTATAGAGAGGTGTCCTCTAGCGTGATTGTCCTCATGGAGGTTCTACTGTATATATACAGTTAAACCTGTCTATAGCGCCCCCTCTAAATAGCGCCTTCCTCTCTATAGCGCCCGATTTTAAACATTAAAATGAAAACATTTTACATTGAAAGTGACCTGTCTATAGCACCCCCTCTCTATAGCAGCCTATTTTGGTGAGTCCAAAGAGGGGGCGCTATAGACAGGTTTAACTGTATATATTTATATATACTAGCCGAATGACCCGGGCAACGCCCGGGTTTTAAACCGATTAAATGTTTTTATTCAAATACTATTCGTTACAATTATAAATTGGCACCGTGGATGTCACTTTTGTGAAACGTCCCGCTCCAAACTTTGTGTGTTTTTAAAATATAAAAATAAATATGTAAATTTTCACAACGATATTTGAAAATGAAATTATTTTGATTTTCAAATACTATTCGTTACAATTATAAATTTGGGCCGTGGATGTCACTCTTGTGAAACGTCCCGCTAACAAATAAAGTCGGTGGACGAGTGGGTAACACCCTCGATTCCCGACAGTCATGAACCGGGATTGAATCCCGCGTTAAAATTGGTTTAATATGTGAATAACCTCCACATATTATTCATTGTTCAATTATCATGAACTAGGTTGCTCTTGCTGAGCGGTACCTATTTATGTGATTTGAACCAGAAACGTCCCGCTCCAAACTTTGTGTCTGAGAAGCGATATTTTTATAGAAAGATGATCTGGCTTTTGTTTTCTGCTCGAATGAATGTTTTTCTGTTAGAATTTTGTTCCTGCGTACAAAATAATGAACTGGTTTCACCCGTGGTCTCTGCTTTTTGGAATTTTTCCCGATATAATTTTGTATATGATAATCAAACATGATACAGCAATATCGTCATCATCATTTTCTGACTAAAAATATATAGTTTTAATAATTGATTTATATATATTTTAAAATAGCCTATCGTCTTTCCCGTATTTTTTTTTTTACATATGTATGGAAATTTTGGTTTGAATTAGTGAACTACTGCGAATTTGTATACCGGACATACAAACAAACATACAAACATTTATTTATATATATATAGAGATATAAGATATATATATTTAAAGGTAATTACTAATTTCATTCACACAATCTACAAATCTTAATTGGACTTCTTCATTTTTATCAGTCTCTTTTTTATCAGCTTCACCAATGTTAAGGATACAGTGAAATACTTTTATATTATAGAAAGAAAAAAATGAATATAGAATATGCTTAAATTAATATATTTAGATATGGTTTATGCAAATAAAGAGAACAATATTCAAATAAAATAAGAACAGCAATCAAATTACCGAAGTATAGCCAATCATGAAGATAGAGGTTTTATGGCTGGCATTCATAGTTTTAGAATTGAAGACACTTCGGCCAGTAAATTTTTTTGCAAATAGGTAAAAAAAGTAATTTTGCAAATGAAAACTGTCCTTTATAGATAGGTGTCCTCAAGCGTGAGTGTCCTCTCATGGAGGTTCTACTGTATATATATATATATTTAAGGTAACTACTAATTTTATTCCCACAATCTACAAAGACTATCTTTTTAAAACTAACCTAAGTAATTTAGGTGAAAATTAGTTTTATTTTAAATTGTTAATATCAAGGTTCAGATAACAGGTAAAGCACAATCCACGCACACCGTACAGAAATTACATAAAATAGTATAATGAAATAGATATTTACTCAAGTTAGATTCTCGCCTGTAACAATATACAGTTAAACCTGTCTATAGCGCCCCCTCTAAATAGCGCTTTCCTCTCTATAGCGCCCGGTCAGATTCCGGTCAGCGAGCTAATCCTGTGACGACTAGGGCCTCCAATCCCGGTACATATTTTCA